TTTTACATATAACCAAAACTTGGGACATGCAGTTAATTTCATAACAGAGGTCAACATTTCAACATAAGCCAAACCATGCTGAACATACTGTTGGGTAGTGCAACCTCTTTGCCTTCTTCACACTTGGATTTGAGAATGAAGGGCAGTTGTGCCAACGATCATAGATCTGTTTCATTTACTGTATCAAGTTGATTAGTGATGTCTCATAAATCAATTTGTATGGGGTTGAGTGGGGCATAATACTTCCAGCAAGTGCAGTTTTTGGAATGTTTGCACATAAATTTAACAACTGCTGCAGGGAAATTGGATGGCATTGCACTAGAAAGCCTGTGTTTCAGTGAGGTTGAGACAGGATGTCCAAAACATCCTGATCATATTTGCACTAGTCATATGCATGTGTTATGGTGAGGAACCACTTCAGCACAGAGTATCTGTGTGCCACACATCTTCCCCTTAGTGAGGAAGAACCTCAATCTCCTATTTCCTGCTGTGATGAGGCAGACATAAACTTATTGACCTGGTTCATATAGCATAACAACACACCACGGACGATGAGCTGTGGTTGATCATTATATTGTCGAAACCCAGAGCACTTCCCGCAGGTAGGGTTGTTTTTTTCAGCGAGTCCTTGTGGACACCCATGGTCCACAGTCAGATTGTTTCACCCTTGATGGGCTCGCATGCCATGACAGGTTCAGCTCACCATCTCCATGTCTTTGGCAACTGCAGATGCCCTCTTAAGCCTGTTCTGTATTTTGCTTGTTGCTCTTCCCCTTTTTCTTGCCTGCACTTTGCCTATTCATTGCCCTTATCCCTATCCAGAATTTCTCTTCATGGTTTACAAACCCTCTGACAGAGTTGTGTTGTCAACGTTTACAGCTTCATTCTTTAAAACAAAGCTCCCCCCCCCAATTGCTACAATATGTTAATTAAGGATACTACCACCTCCTTGCCTCCCTGTACAGGTGGCAGCCCAACTTGAGGTATGCTGTTGCTAGATTTCAACAGTAGGCATGCTGGCTGGGGGATGATGGGAGTTGTAGTCTCAACACATTTGGGGAGTGCCTAGTTGGGGGAGGCTTGCTTTACAGCAAGAAACACAGAAGGATGAGCCAAAAAAGATGGCACCCTCTAACCTTTAAATTGCCAGTGCATGAGAACTTACCCAGCAGTGTTGCTTTTAACAGGGAGCCTGGGAGAGACAGCTGCTGCATCAGATTTCTGTATAATTTCCCTTCAATGCTCTGTGTGTGCTTGAAATAATAGTTGCAGTGAGAACCAATGTTTGTCCCTGCACCTGATTTGGGGTCTGTTCTCTTGTTCAGGGATGATTAGGAGGATTGTGTTTTCCCATGGCCCCATCTCCAAACAAGCAAAACCTGCCCTGAAATGCCCAGCCTATTATACCATTCCCCAATATTTGATAATTATAATAAACCACACAAGCTGGTCCAACTAGTGTCTGCAGTCTTCCCCAAGGCTTAACATCCCAGGATAAGACATGCCCCAAATCTCTCTACCTATCCCTTTAGTGCTGAAAATTGGTGCAAAACTTGATGGGATATTTATTTATTTATTTATTTCTGCTTCTGTGCTGCTCCATCACCTGAGCGTTCTCTGGGTGGCTTACAAACTGCTGAAACTAGCACATAAATACAATAAATGAAACAGATAAAAACAATAAAAGTAGTAACTTGTTAAAACATCTCATATATTACAAAGTATATAATCCATACATAATATAACCAAATACAGATAAATTAACAAAGCAAAATTAAATTAATAAACAATAGCAAAATACAATTTAAATTAACCAAAATTAACTTTTGTCGTTTGAACAAAAACGTTTTTATCTCGCGTCTAAAAGAGACAAAGTTAACACCATCCATATGTCCCTGGGGAGTGAATTCCAAGGTCTAGGTGCCCTATGGAATATGCCTCCCCTCCTAGCCCTTTGACCCCACTTAGAGGGTATTTGGAAGGGGACTTGAGGAAGATCTAAGTGGTTGGGGAGGTATATATGGACAGAGGCACTCTCTCAGGTACCTGGTCCCAGGCCATTTAGTATTATAAGCCTCCCCACATGCCCTTAGGATATTCTAGCATCTTGCCTCAAGATGATCCTGCCAACTCAGTGTCAGGCAGCACCATGCAATTTCATCCAACACAGCAGAAATGGGTCCCCATCCCCACCCCTTTATCTCATATCAAGCCACACTGTTGATTTGCTTGTCTATTGCAAGAACAGTTTACTCTGACTCAGTTGTTAGTTTTGGCTTGGACTTGGGAAAGATGAATTTTTGGGAAAGGTGCATGCTCTATTGTGTAATAAGAATTCATTCCTCTCGAGGAGACAAAGGAAGTCTGCATTGCAAGACCATGGAGTAGTTCTTAGAGTGTTGGGCATGACAAACAGGGTACTTGTTCTGTGACTGTGAAAGGTTGAACAGATCCTTTTGAACCCAAGGGGGTATATACAACTTTAAGACTCAAAGCAGAGAACAGCAGTATTGACACAGTTGCCCTCCAAGCTGGAAGGAGTGAAAGGTGGAATTCATAGGACTCAGCCACTTCATTTGCAGTGTTGTTTGCAAACTAAATGTGCCTCCGTGGTTACCAGGTAACTAGACACCGGAGAATTCTGCCAAACTCTGTGGCATCAAGATTTGCAAAGGCCTCTTTTCCTCTTCAAGCAGACATTGGCAACAGCATAACAATCCCCACCTGACTAATGAATTGTCATGAGGCTACCCTTTCCCCCACACTCTAAAAAACATTTCAGCCTGTGAAAACTTGCTTTTCAAATGTGATAGGTGGAAAATGGCACTTTCCAAGCACAGATTACTTTAAAAAATATGTGATTCAAAAGCAGCCCAGCCTTCTTTCTTGAGCCAGTGTAACAGTGGCCCAAATTCAGAGAGAGCTGTGAGCAGCTTCCTTCACATCCTCTACTCAGGGGTGTGTGTGTGAGAGAGAGAGAGAGAGAGATTGATTTAACTCCGTCCCTGGCCCTGGGAAAGGTTACCAGTAATAGGTAAAGGGGATATCACCGCCATTCCTATTTGGTGTTCTTGGCCTCTTGAAAGTGCTGCTGGATTCCCCACCTATGACAGATCAAGGTGCACGGAGACTTCCCAGCCCACAGAGTGGAATGGGGAGCATGGCCTGCACAGGAATCCAACCTGCATGTATATGTCATTTGATAAAACAGCACTCAAATTATTTTACAGTTTTATTTCAAAGGAATTGTCGCAGAAATAATAATTCATTTTTTGAGCTCAGAATGGCTTCCAGATTGACATACATAATTCCTACAAAAATGCATGACTTTGGGAGGGAGACCTGGAAAAGAAAAGTGGAGGCGTTTGCATAGCTCCCACCCTGAGCCTCCTAGTTGTGGGTCAGCAGGATAGCAGGAGGTTGCTTGGGTCTCTCTATCCTTCTCAGGATAATAAATAGCTTTATTAATCTCAGTTGTGATGAACAGCACTGGGGTTGTATTTATTTTATATAAGATAGTTGTATGCTGCCTTTTAAAGAAAAAGAAAAGATACTGTCGCCTGTAAGAGCCCTGCAGTGGAAGGTCCCTGCACAGGAGTGGGCTGTTGCTGCCGCCGCCACATTGATCGCCCTTCAGCATCTTCCTTTGGCCACCGCATTTGCAGCCCACTTGGAACTAACTGTGAGCCTGCGCCAGCCTCAGGAGAAAGGGAGCGATTAGAGTAGCTCTCCCCAACCCAGTATCCTTGAGAAGTTTCAAACCAGAGCTGCCCACATGCCTGTCCCTTGGTTGTACTGGTGGGAAATGCTGTCCAAAACATCTGAAGGGTGCAAGGTTGGGGAAGGCTGGGCCAGAGGTACAGGACCTCTTGGGCAGCAGCTGGCCATTGACACAAACACTTGAGTTCCGTACAAAGACAACATTCTGTTCTCAGATTTGAAAAACCAAAAGAAAATGGATGCATCCTATCATGAGGATGTTGGAAGGCAACAGAAGACATGCAGGAGCCAATAAAAAGAAAACAATAGCTTTCAATTTCCTGCAGTTTTTTCTTCATGAACTTTGCTATGAATAACTGATCTGTGCCAGCATGCATTTGGAGAAGGGATGTAGGGCTCTCCTGGAGGGCTGACTGAGCCAGGGTCACTTAGATCATTTCCCTGAGATGTCTTTACTAAGTATAAGTTTAAACTTTAATAAAGCATAATGTTTTCCCTGTCATGGAGACATATTAAAAATAGTGCATCTAATTAATGATAGCTGTACCACATCTGAAATCTACGGGAAGAGGCATTATATAGCAAGTGTGAGCTGTCCTGAGGCTATATAGCAAGGGGACAGCATACTTTAAATAAAAACTTTAAATAAATAAATAAATTATAGCCAGTAAGTTCTAGGCGTTAGAATGTGAGGCTTAGAGCAAAAATCCTCACCCAGCCACAAAACCAGCAGGGGGACACTAACCCAACTGCCCCCACACGATTGTTGTCAGCATAAAACAAGGCGTAGGAGAACCTTGTACTTGCTGAACTGACTTGTTTGGGTAAAAGGCAGGATCGGAATCAAACTAATAATAATTAATGTGTTCTGTTTACTGACATCTAGTAAATGTGCCCTAGAACTGGAGGGAGAGCCTCTTTCTGTCCAAATTCCATTTTGGAGAAGTTCTTGGGGGCTGCATTCAAGTGGTGGGTGGGGTCAAAAGTACAAATTAAAAATAGCAGCACATCATACCTGAAAGCTGTTACTCCCAATAACTGAGACTTAAGAGATTTGTGTCCACCTTTTTAAATGGGGAGCACGGTGAACAGGTAACCATCAAGCCATCAGTGTTTGGGGAAAATGAGGTGGGGCCATCTGAGTAACCCTTAAGATTTGGCCCACAAAGATTTCCACCTTTGCAATAAAAAACTGAGACAACTCTGATAAAGAGATGCTTAAGTATACCAGCATCTTTGCTTCCTCATTGCAGTAGTTCAGCTTTTCTTTTCTTTTGCAGAATTGTCAAACTTTTAACAGCCTTAGCTGCCTTAGCACCACAGCGGATGACTGTGCTCAGCAGAATCAGTTCTCACCTGACATCAGTGGCACCAGTTCATGGACGACAACTTTGGACGTCATGCCAGGCAGGACACCAGCCTGTACCCCTGTGCCAGAGCCACACTCAAATGTGGAAGAATGTAAATTGAACAAAGAAGATTTCTCCTGTGAAGAGTCAGAGTTTTGTGCCACAGAAGATGAGAGCACTAGAAAAGAAGATGAAAACTCCTCATGGAGGAACGGTGGGACAGGAGGGGACAATGTCTTTCAGTTGGATGGGGAATTGGATATCGAGCAAATAGAAAACAACTGAGAACACGAAGGATGAGGTGTCTGCGTCGGAGCTCTTAGAGGTGGTAAAATCTTGCTGATATTATTGCAGACAGGAATTTTCCTTCTTCTTGGCAAGTGGGAGAAGACAAGAAGTTTTGCCAAAATTTCATCAGGTATCTCATTAAACCTTGAAACTTTTAGAACTACTGTAGCCCATGAGGTTTCGCAAACAAGCTTTAGAGAAAATTTCTAAATTACATCAGCACATTTTTTTTAAAGAAAGCTTTGTGGATGTATCAAAACTTGAAATTCTCGAATGTTAGAAGAACAGTAAATTAAAAACAAAGAACAGGGCTTAAGCAAAAAGGAAGGGAGGACCAGAATGTCCGTTGCTGGTCTTCATTTACAAAGTAGGTAATATACCATCTAGAGAGAAAGCATATGAGGATTTCCTCTGCCTGATGGGAATCCTACTCTGCTTTGGCTTTTGGAAAGGGTGGAGTATACAGACAGTTTATGGTTGTTGACTAATTTTGATTTTAAACTGCATCTCAGCTATCCTCAGCAAAGGGAGAAAGGAGGAGATGAGCATTGTTACCTGGATCCAATTTCTTTCAGATTGCGTATCCAATAGTTCTTACAAAGTCTCATAAATCAGAAGTTCCAGTTCTTTGCTGTAGAGTCAAAATTTCCAAAGATGCAGTAGCCTGCTATGGTCCATAAACTCAACTTATTTCCTTTGTATTTCTCAATAACACCATGAAAAGAAAGTACAGTACATTTGCCCGGATTGAACAAAGGAGATCTGTGGGCATTAACAGGTTTCCACACTTACAACCCAATCTGGTCCAGGGTGGACCAACTAGGTGCATCTTTTGATGAAAATGAGAATTCATTGCCCTTTTGGGGCCCCACTATTTGTTATGAGTAGTCAGTTACTTGCAGCTAGAGCTGGATGGAGGCCATCGCTTTGGGGAGAAGATCAACCCAAACATTTGTGCATCCTGAAATTTAAATAAATGGTAGAAATACATTCTGAATGCTATATTCATAATACTGGTTATCTGGATAATGGGTTACATGGCATATATAAAAACAAAAAGCATGAGTAGATAATGGAGTTTCTTGAGTTTGGTGCTTTGCAGCTGGAAAGGATCATAAATACTTGTTTTATGTGGAACAGATGAACCCTTCCTCACCTTGGAGCCCTCCAGGTGTTTTGGACTTCAACTCCCATCAATCTCCAGTCAGACTAGGAATGCTGGGAGTGCTAGCTCAAAACATCTGGAAGGAAGCCAGATGGGAAAGACTGAAATAATGTATGGTTGCTTTACTGCACTTTGTACAGCATAATTAGTATCTAAAATCACATTCAGCAGCAAAAAGAAGTGAAGGTTACACATTTCTGTGCATGCATCACACCTCATCTCGAAATCATCCACACCCAGGACTGGAAAGACCAAACACTAATGAAAGGCAGGTGCAGCACTGCCTTTCTTTCACAAAATATGGTGGCAACTTGCACTGCAGGACCAGTTGTGGGACTATAGCCCTTGACTGATTGCATGTATTGCCACCTCCCCATGGAAGACATAAATACATGCAGTCCTAAGAGCAGGAGGAATTACCTCAGTGGATATCTGTTGCCCAGTTTCCCCATTCACAATAGAATGAAACTGTATCTTTAAGATAAAACTTATTTTTAGCCACTTAGTGCTGTTTTCAATGGAAGAGGGCTTATTGCTTTCTGCGATGGGGGCAGCATAAAAATGCTATAAATAAAAATAAATAAATAAATTATAAAAACATAATCTAGTGCACCCTGTAGAGATTAATTGAGAATCACAGATCTTGCCCATGTGCCTCTAGTATAGGAGTGGGGAATCTAAGACCTCCAAGATGTTGTGGGACAGTATATCTCATTAACTCTGACCATTGGCTATGCTGCCTGAGGTTGATAGGTGTTGTAGTCCAACATTACTTGTAGGGGTGCAGCTTCTCCTGCCCTGTTCAAAGGTGTTAGCTCTCTCGTCTTTTGAGTTTGAGCAGCATTGGTATTTGATCTGAGTAGGCTTGGTAAGCTGTCACCCTACAAACACTTGTATGAGCTGGGTTATATGGCATAATACCCTGCAATAATTTCCTCCTGCTCCTCCTTCACCTGTTGAGACAGTTGGCTATACCTTATTTTTTTCAGACCTCAATTGTCTTCACTCTTTCAAAAGGTGCCAGTCTGAGTTTCTATCAGTTGGGCTGTGCACACTTTGGATTATTATTATTTCTTTTAAAAAGAGATTTCTGCACAAAGATAGCAGCAAATTCTGCACCTTGTAAAAACTAATCATATTTGCATGTATCTTCTTAAAATGCAACAAGGAACTGAGTTAGTGACTGGAGTTCCACCTCCTAACCATTTGGAAATTTTACCAGCTTCTATCAAACAACGAGGCTGAATTCTACGTCTAGTATGAGTCACAGAATTCCAGTAATGCTGTTTATACCAAGACCTGTCTACACCAATGCAGTACAGGCTTCGTGGATGGCTTGGTCTTGACTGTATACCCATGGAGAGATCTTTAGAAGCAGAAAAATCATTTCATCCATTGCACCAAAAATTGGCTTGATACATGGAAGCCAGACTTGGGCTTGCATGTTTGCTGCCTTTTTAGGCCATCATGCATTTTTTTTTCTTTTACAGAAAAACCAGTCTGCTATAACATCCTAGCTGCCCAAATATGGTTTGCACTAGGCCTATAGACTGGAATTGCAAAGCACTGTCAAAACTGTGGTTTGTGATTAAGATTTGGTTAGCAAGCACAGGCCATATTTTGCAGGGTTTGAGAGAATGAGTCACTATGGTTTCCTACAAAAGGGGGTGGAATTGGAGGAGGAGTGTGCACAAGGCTGAGTCTCAGTGTTAGTTGTTGGCTGAGCAATTCTCACATTTCAGTTCTCAGTCACAGGAATCCTCAACCTATTTGGCAAGATCTGTGATGATCACAAATGGACTCCCATGCGAGTGGTGACAATTATACAAGAGAGAGAAAAGGTCCAGGATGGCTCTGGCAGCCACCACATCCTGGAATCAAACACAAGACTTTCCATCACACTGCTGATGACATGTTGCAGAATGTGAGCTGCTCAGATCAATGTATGCTCCCTGTTCGCAGACATGAGCAACCCCGCCCCCCCCAATGGTAAGATAGCTTAGATGAACAAACAATAAATACACAGCACAGCACAGGATACCTTTAGTTATACAGATTGCATAGGACCTGCCTTTGGCTAAGACGAGGCTGATACAAAATGCAGTCCGAGATACAGAAATTCAGGTAGCCACAGTCCAGCATTTCCTTCTACTTCTTTCACTGATTGTAGTGAACAATAAGCATATACAATGTAGAATGGATAGCTCAGTTGAATAAGCTGTTCACTTACTACAAGGAAACATTTTGTGTACTTATAGAGAAGGGAGAAAAGAGCAGTTTTGTTTTTGTTTTTATTAAGCAGCACAGGTTTGTTTGTTCTTTTTTTAAACTGCACTTTTTTCCTATGGTGGTATAGATGCTTTCAGCTTCTAATACCATAGTAGATTCCGCCCAACTGTAGCTTTACAATGTCCAGTCAAACTGTACAGATTTTGTTTGTTTGTCCATTTGTTGATTTATGCTGATCCTTCCTAACTGATGCTCACATGATGTGCAGGCCAAATATTAACTTAGGGAAGGAATTGCTTTCATTCTGAATGTCCTGGATTGTGCATTTTGGTGCCTTGGTGCAACCTGGTGAACACATCTATAAAACTGAACATTCTTAGAAGGACATGTTTGTAGGATTTTGGCACTTAACATGCACTGTTGATTTCAGAAACTGACAGAGCAGATGTTCCCCAGTTTTGACTGGAATGGGCTCTCCCAAATTGAACTAAATTTGGCCCAATTCAGGACTGATTCTATGCTTTGGCTTAATTCAAGTTGCATTGCAGTCTCAGCGGTGGCCAGGCATGTGACATTCCCTTTGTGAACCTTTTTGTTCCTCTTCCTCTCCTGCCTGCCTGCCCGCTCACCCCGCCCCCCAGGTGGCAGGTGGCCTCACACACACCATGGCAGAACTCTCTTGCCCCCCCCCCCCCCCCGCTACATTGCCCCAAGCAATCACATTTCCCTCTTGAGGATTTCTCCAACATTGTAAATAGGGAACAGGGTAGGGCTGTGTTGGGATGAGTCATGGCAAGGGAGGCAGGTGATACTGCAGTATTGGTTCGGGACTGATGAATGACAGTGACGTATCTGTGGCATGAGCCTACATTTTGCTTTGCGGAGGGCTGATCAGCAGCAGCTATTTATGGTTTCAGGTCGGCATGATCTGTGTTGTGGTGACTTCAGCATTTCATCAAACTACTGCTGCATTCCCAATTGGGCAAATTTATAATGGCAATTGGATTGGCCCACATCCTGACAAGCTAAGTGGACCCTGTGAATCAGTCCTAAACTGCACAGTGCGGTCTAAGCTAAACAGGTACAATCTGAACACAGACTGGATGTGCAAGAGTGCACATAGTGCACCATTTACTATTAAAAGTAAATGTTGGTTAGATAACATCTACATGTGTAGCTATTTCTTAAGGGTACAGCAAATAATACTTGTCCATGGAAGTTTTGAAGAGTAACTTTCAGCAAAGTTACAAAAATCCATGAATACAATATGGAAGCAGACTGGAGGAGAAAGACTATTGCTTATGGTGATACGCCGGTTCTGTTCTACATAGAACTTGTGTCAGAGCATTTGATACATGTTGTAAGATCCCACATTTCTTGCCTTGAAGTGTTCATCATCTCCTTTTTCCCAGTAACTCTTTAAAAAGTACTCTGTGCAGCCCTTTATTGGTAAGCTACTGCAAACACTGAGTTGAATTGAGACTAAGGCTGCAATCCTATACTCACTTGCATGGGTGTAAATGTCACTCAACTTAGTGGGGATTACTTTTGAGTAATCATGTATAGGATTGTGCTCTAAGGTAGCTGAATTTAGGTCCCAGTGAAATCAGTGGGACAAGCTAGTCATGACTTAAGTCCAACTGATTTCAATGGGGAGGGCATCAATTGATGTAGTCTGGATCCAACTCATTCTGTTTCTTTTCTATTTGTTGCATGTTCCTGAAGTGACAAGACCTTCCCTCGCTTGGATTGCATAAAGACATTTCCTAATTCTCTACTATCAAGTAATCAATCACCCATCTGATGTGCATAAATGCACATTTTCCCCTCTACTTTTTTAACCTTAACATTCTGTCACTGAAGTAACTATTCTTAATTGTAGCATCTGCTTTTGGGTGTACCAACCTAGAGTACATCTTGTGCCATTAGCATTATTCTTTTTGAGAAAGCATAGGTCTGACTTACATACATCTTGATTTATGGATGTTCAGTTTGCTTTTAGTGCTATAGAGATGCTATTTTCCTTTCATGGGACTGTAAACTCGTAAGGGCTTTAAAAAAGCAAAACAAAAAGGGCTGCTACCTACAACAAGCTAAATGCACAGAGTAGGAAAGTGCCCCAAAGGACCACTACCCAACTCTCTTAGCTGTAGTGTAGCATTTATTATATAGCAGCAAACCCTCTTTGCCTTAGTAAATATGCTTCACTGAATAATGGCCTTTCAGTGGGCACAACTGCATAGACACAGTATACTGTTTTGCCTAAGGTTAGGCCAAGATGACATTTGATTGGATTGTACTGGTTTTGGTTTTGTATGATTTATGTTCTGAAACTGAGTTTTAAAAGCCTTACTTTTTAAAAAATAGAAATAAAACTTTGTGGATTTATGAATGTGTGTGTGTGTGTGTGTGTGTGTGTGTGTGTGTACATAGATATACATACACACTCATGCAAAATCAAACTCTGAAATATAGTATGTGTCTCATATTCAGAGGACATCCTCTCAATTGTAACATATAAGATGCATTGATCTCCGGAAATCACAGAACCTCAGCTGGATCTACTGCTTTCCTACTGGATCCCTCCACCAGGGATTCCCTTGTTCCTGCTGGAGTTGTATGATGCTACATGCACTACTTAGATTAGCTCACTTGGCAGATTTTTGCCAGGTGGGTTCCAGAATCTGCCACTAGTGTTTGTTGTGGGTAATTGCCTTTATTTTCTAAGCAGTAAAGTCAATTCAGCATGGAGACTGACAAAAGCTTGTTTGAAACATGGATCTAGCTGGACTGTGGATGTTTCATGATAGCAGCAATAAATGTTAACAATTTCCCTCTTTTAAAAAATGGAGCAGGGTGTTTTGCTTTGTTTTCTTTTGTATTAGCACTGGTGAACTTGCTTACAAAGAATTTGCCATGCACCTGCAGTGATTGCTCTTTGGAACATGTATTCATGAAACATGAGATACATCAAGAAAGAAAGGAAGCAGAAGAATATACTTCTGGATTTGACTGTAATATTTCACGATACTGAATAGCCTCTTTGGCCAATAACCATTGTGTTTCAGGTGCATTTTCAATAGTCCTTATTGGAAAGGACAAGAGGATATTTTTAGGATTGTAGCCGTGTTTTCCAGCATTTGTTTTTGATGTTTAAGAATCAAATGAATCAAAAGATGATGATGGCCAAAAAGCCTTGAGAAACTATGAATTCTGGTAACCTTCAGCGTGTCTGTGTGTGTGTTTGCACACTCTGTGTGTGTATGTGTGTCTGTCCATGATAACTGCACAGATGCAGGCATATTGACATGTATACAAAGTCAGCTCTGTAGTTGGTGTTATATTTGTTCAAAATCAACTATTATTGAAGACTATTCCTTGACCTGAAAATTAAGACTGCTGATTTGTACTCTCTCAAATGACTTTATTGCACTATAGAGCAGCTCAGTCTCAGGAATTTACTTGTTACTTTGACGATGTAAATAAAGCTTTCTGATTCTGTAACCTGCCACCTGGCATTACTCTTTGTTTATGCTTTCCAGTGTTGTCCCAGTTACCAAGATTCCATCACCATTTAAAAAAATCAATCTTTTGTTTGCCCAAAGAGTAGTACTGAGAAATATTGGACAGACAGTCATGTCACCTATGAAACTGCAGTATCCCACCTTTCATTCATGATTATAGTTTAACCACACTCCTCGAGCACTAAGAAATGGGCAGAGTACAGCACAGCAGAACTGGCAGATGGCCCGCTCTTGTCCACCACTGCATGAGCAACATCTACACGTAGGCCTAAAAAATCTGTAGTGTTGAGTTTTCTTGGTGCTGCAAACTCCCCATCATTATAAAGGGCAAAGAAGAGGAAGGAGTGGGTTGAGTCCTTCCCAGTCTTACCTATACAGTACCTCATTCATTCATGTGCAATTCACCTTGAGCAGTAGTTCTGCTTGTAGGTAAGACTATAGGTTCAGTCTGTGTTGCTCAGCATGTTCTCATGTGGAGTGAAGAGCTTTCTTTCACCTCTGGGGCAAGTGTGAATCCCCTCTAGTTGCTCCCGTCCCCTCTGCTCCGGCTGACGTGACTCAGGGAGCAAGGAAGGCATAGCTAATCAAGGCTGCTCTGTTCATAGGCCTTGTATTGCTTCACCCATTTCTTCTGGTCACAATCAAAGAATGCTTCTTCCTATATGGAATGGTAGCACCACTGTAGGAAATCATTAGCCCAGTTTCTTAGTCGTTAACCTTATTCTAAATTATTAGATGTAACTGCGTTTACTCACATTCCTTGATGCTAATGGAAGATTCATCCCTTCTCTCTGGCTTTGTTCCAGAACAAGTAAGATGGCAATGCTATGTACTTTAATGGGAAGATGCGTGGCACACAAATGAATGCAAAAATATTCCTTGCAGCCAGAAAGTTAGATGGCAGGGAGACATCTAGGTGCTAACTCTTTGTGTACAACATGCTTGTTTTCCCAGAAGCAGAGTATAATTTTGTAAAGACTGATCCTTACAACATAAGCCCCAACTGCCTAGCTATTGATAATAGGCATATACGAATTGACTTTTGAATTCATCCCTCATTTAAGTAAGGGCAGTGGAATGCCAGTCTTCCCACATATAGAGGTGGTGCCGGCGGCGGCAGCATTTGAAGCATATACTTTGCCTGTACTGGCCTCACCATTTTACTTTAAAAGATGGGAGGTTAAGGGGATCCTCTGTCTCTGTAGGCTAAAGTTCAAATACAGTGCAATGAAAAAGAACATTGCAAAAGAAGCAGAAAGAAAATGAATGATCTGAACAATGAATAATAGCAGAGCTTCCTCCGCCCCTACACAGTACCCTCTAGATCTGTTGTATTACAGTTCCCATTATCCCCAGCCAGCATGCCCATTATCGAGCACATCTGATAGAAACCAGGCTGGGAAAAGCTGGAATTGGCCCCTGCATGTTGCCTATGCATTTATGCACATGGATCCTGCAGTTCCAGAATACCTCATTAAGCGAGAGCAGCCCTGACTCCAGCAGTTCATCTGCCATCAGAAACACTCCTAAGCTTAAAGAGAATGGGAAGCAGGATTTTAGACTCCAAGAAAAGTGAACCTCCATGGGATCTGCCTTTACTCAGCACTGGCCACAAAGCAGAGGTTACATTTACAGGAAGTTGAGATGTTAAATTCCATAAATATCTGCTTGAATATGTTAAAGAAGTGTAGCACACAACCAAGTAATGATTGGAAGTCACACCATATCAGAAATGGGATGCATAACTCCTGTTCACTGATTCAAAGACGCAACCGCTAGTTCATGTTCTGTAACACTGCTTTCTGCTGCCAGGTGGCCCAGAGTTAATTTGGCCAGTGTCCTATCACAGACAGTATCTGCCATATCTCTAAAAGGATTCCCACAGGGCTAAGTATAGTGACTGCATGCAAAGCTATGGTGTGCATCTTTTGGGCTTAGGGATGGTCAGGGGTGACCATAAACAAACACCAGGAAAGGACAAAGGATCTTTAGCCACTTCCACAATCATCACCTTTCATCAGGTATCTTTCTATGGGAAAATTTTCAGATTCATCTATCGGAGTAAAGCACAGTGGTCTCTTCTTCACAGCACGAGTGAGAAAAAGCTGTGATTTTTTGAGGAGAGCTCGTTGCTCGGAGACACAACCAGGCTAGACTTCTAGGGAAGGCCTATTAACATAGGGAGATCAAATGGCAGCCCATCACTCAATGAGATAGTCATTTAGAACATGGTCAAGACATTTACAGCTTTTGAAGGATATCAGGAAAGCAAAAGGTGTTCTTTTACAGTGAAACTTCAGTACCATTTACTCTCAAGGCATGTTATCCTGCAAAAAAAGCCCTCTCCATAATGCAGTACTGCACAGACAATCTATAGAACACATTCACCTTTTCTGTCCAGCCCCCAATTCTCAGGTCTACAGCAAGCACTGCAGCCTCTAGAGGCCCAGGTTGCAATAGCACAAGTTTAAAAGAAGCTGCTTCCAGAGCATCAGGAAAAAGGATGGATGGAGGCAAGGCATTATTATTATTATTATTATTATTATTATTATTATTATTATTATTATAACATTTCTATGCCGCCCCTTGCCGAAACCTCGGGGCGGCTTACAACATGATAAAATACATTGAAATACAATAGTACATAATAAATTACCATTAAATATAAAAATACAAAAAATACATTGATTTACAAATACAAAATTAAAATTATCAGTATAAAATAAAAATATAGGATGAGAAAGAGAAGGAAGAAGAAGTTGCCCAGGCCAGATCATATGTTTTAACAATTGAAATGATGTTTAAATAAAAAGGTCTTTACCTGGCGCCGAAAAACCAGTAACGACGGTGCCAGGCGGACCTCTTTGGGGAGTGAATTCCATAGGTTGGGCGCCACCGCAGAGAAAGCCCTCCTCCGGGTACTTACTCTCCTAATTTCTTTCATGGAGGGTTCCCGGAGAAGGGACTCTCCCGCAGATCTCAAAGGGCGGTCGGGCATATACGGACGTAAGCGCTCGTTCAGGTAGCCAGGACCCAAGCCGTTTAGGGCTTTGTAGGTCATAATCAACACCTTGTACTTTCTAGCACCATGATAGGTCATTGAACCAGAGGTTGCTGAACTTCACCTCCCATCACCCCTAGCATGCACACCGAAGTTTTAGGGATGATGGGAGATGCAATCCAACAACATCTAGCAGCATCAGTAGTGTCTGGCAGGAGGGGCATGACTGGACATTGTCTTCTTACCATCATGGCACTAGTCCTTCAGATACCCTTCAACAGTAACAATGTTCCGGTCACCTGTCTCCACCAATCTGCTCAAATACACCAAGTATGCAAATAAGTAGCCACAATCTTCCTGTTCTGTGGCAAATATACACAAGATATAAGATCTACTGAATGCAGTCTACACTGAATCTCCTACAGGTACTGGTAGCTTGAAAACAGCTTATGCTGGTGGGAATGCAGTTTTAAAATCCCTGTTTTCCTCATGTTGTTACTTGCTCAGCACTTTCAAAAGAACAAGTGCCTTTAAATGTATGCAGGAAATCATGACCTCACCACTCGAAAACATTAGTGGATAGAAGAAGGCCTTCCATGTAAGAAGACATGAACAGACAAAGTTGAGATCCAGCACATGAACAACCTTGTTGAGAACTGAGCCATGCTATCTAGTATATATTCTTACTGTCATGCATATTCAGCAACACATACACTGTCAAAAAACAAAAGGATAAGTGCATCAATGTTCATAAAATCCCAGGGAACACTTGCATATAAAAACTACCCAAGAACTCTTGTAGAAACCAAATCACTTGTTTTCCTACAACTGAAAGGATGTACTTAATTCAGCCACACTGACAAATGTAAGGATCTAAGGTTTGAGCCCAACAGGGACTATTGAAGCTAATGGTGTCACTGAGACTCGTACTACTTGGTCTAGAAATATGAGCATCAGGAAGGGTTATGAACCTTTAAATTCATTGTTATGCTAAAATGCTCACTGCAAACATAAGACAAGCACTTTGATGCCTGAATTAATCTCTGGCTGCTATTTAACAGGAGCTATTCAGCCCCCAAATCCCTCTCCTTCGGCATCCAACCTTCTCCCACCAACTCACCTTCTCTCCTTTTCTCAAGCCCACTTACCAAGTTAGTGCCAAGGCACCAGCTCAGACATTAGTTGGATACCCTAGTTAGGTCACCAAAAGAAAGAACTTTGCTTGAAAACAGTGAATCCTGCTTGGATTAAGAAAATGCAACCTGCTTTTTGAAGGAGAAGCAGTAGACAAACAAACTGAAAGAAACTGCCTGGGCAAGAACAAATCCCATTTTAATTATCCGGTAATGACTTATTTTCACAGGGCTATTATGAGAATGTTAGCTAATGATGCCATCAGTTTACTACCCCATCTCCTATCCTTAAGTAGATTTAGATGTGCTGTGTAGAGCAATCAATCAATGCGCTCATTGGCTCTTGTGGGCAACTAGACAGGCAGAAGTGGACTTCCCGGTGGCACATCTCTGAAAATGCTACACAGAGGATTGGAGGAAGCTGCCGAATGGCTTTGACAGTGAGGTGGGCTGGACAAGAAATCTCAAAAGACGAATGGCAGGCAGCTTCTCTGAGTAAGGCAATTCTACCAGTAGAAAGCAGATCCTGGATTGAACCCATGATACATTATATTGTAGCATGCTTATTTTCTCTTCTCCAAACCTAGAGCCTTAATCTCTCCCTTATTCCCTTTTAGCTATCCCCCAGTGGAGACTTAAGAGGCAAAGAATCTATCACCACTCACCCACCCTCCCATAAAAGTCCAGTGCAAAAATAAATCATTTCACCCACAGGCTTAGCGTCATTTCATGGAGGAAAACTACTTTGAAAAATGAAGAAGATCAAAATATCCCCAGCAAAGAAAACAATGGAAAACACATTTCAGAAGCCTTGCAACATCCAAAATGTTTCTGTGCAAATAGCTGAAGGA